TTTTTTACACTGTGCATGCAAGCCACCCTTCAACCTTGCTGAGCTGCAGAAATCTCTTACAATATGATCATTCTCGCACAGCTTCAAAGACGTTGATATTAGCTTAGAAGCGCTTAAAATTCTATAAGCAACCGCCCTAACTCCGAGCTACATAAATCCTAGTTTTGGTTTTTGTGAATTATCGGCTTTTAAAGCAATGGACCTTCTGTAGAAATACGCGGTGCGCATGCGCGGAGTATTTGATGCGCCTGGGTTTGAGAGTATCTGGTTCTAAACAATCCGCCATCTTGCTTTTCTCGCCTTTGCGCGCCTTGGAGACCATCGAGACTCAAGTTTTGATGTTGCGAACAAGGTGAACACGAGTCATCGTACTGACGACGCCCGTTCTAGACTACGACGTGCACCGCAATCATGCCGTTGAACTGTGTAGCCTTCGGCTGTCGGATCTATTATTGCCCGGGTTGTGGAACTAGCTTTTTTCGCTTCCCGTGTGCTAAGCTTCATCCCGTTAAGCGGGCAGCCTGGATTCGTGCCGTCAGGAGAGTTGACAAGTCCGACCCCTCGAAGAACTGGAAGCCGAGTCAGCTGTCCAGACTATGTAGCGCCCATTTTATCACAGGTAAGTTGACTTGTAATTTTTGCAAGCGATAGAGCTTTGATAAGGATAGATAACTGGGCGAGTTGGTGAGAGTTCATGTTGAAAAAACAGCGCGACTAAGACGAGGATACAAAGAGACGAAGAGAACACAAGACAAAGCGCTGACTATCAACTGGTTTGTATTACACACTAAGGAAGAATGACAATGAAATGAAAAACATGGAGTCAAATGTTCGCGCGCTTGCTTGGCGCCTCGTGAAATATGTCCCTTTCTTCTTTTTTGCCCGATCGTAGATTGGTTTTCTTCTTTCTTTCCTCGGGAGCTTTTGTCACCCTGAATCCAAAAACTTAATCTCGCTGGGAGTAAGAGTCACCGATGGTTGGCTCACACACGAACTGTTGTTCGTGTGTGAGACACCGCGACCAAACATGTCGAGAGATGATAGAAGCCTACAACATCACGAAGAACAACAGTTCGTGTGTGAGTCAACCATCGGTGACTCTGACTCCCAGCGAGATGAAGTTTTTGGATTCAGGGTGACAAAAGCAGGGTTGCCAGGTGCTTGTACTCTGACCCGCCAAATTTCTACGAGATATAGCCCAAAAATAGCCAAATGTTGATCCCCAAAAATAGCCAAAAAAAAGCTGATCATTTGAAACGTTTGTTTTAAACACAAAAGACGACATAATACATTTTTTGCACATCAAACAGAAATATTCAGACTACTAGCATCACTCGTTCGCAGAACCAACGGATAGAACACGGGTGCATCACTTCGGACAAAACAGAACTCGTGTCGCACCCCCCCCCCCCCCCCCATTTGTTCTTGTCACTACTCTTTAGGATTTTAGAACATAAATCTTGAACACCATGTTGCGTGCTCAACAACGATGCCGAAATGCCCCAGAAATGGCGTCGCTTGCACGTTCGGCGAACTTCCTGAAACGCTCGTACGAGCTCATGTCAACATACCTTTAAAGGGACCATGAAATGACCTTTTTACTTTTTCCAGGTAACTTTTACATTAAACCGTCAATGTTCACTGAATGCCGAACAGGCATCCGTTTTCGTTTCGGTTTATTAACTTCTACACAAAAAATGATTGAAATATCGACTTTTTCATTCTCTCCAACTGACCGCAAAACAAGCCGTGACGTAGGCTGTTTCCGGAACCGGAAGTTCTCTCGGCAGTAGGAGAATGGAAGCGTTAGCGGCTAGGAGTTGGGGTGCGCCGGTAGGTTTTACTGCGCTGATGTCACCGACGTATTTTCTGAATCGGCGCCTCTCATCGCCGCATCGCAGCTGAGCGAAATTCAATGAGATACGTTGCGCTACAGCGACAGCATGGGACTAGTCCCATACGCCGGTATGCCTGTTGGGAAGTGCAGCGAGTCTTCCGGTGAAGACCTCAAAAGTCAACCCAACTGTCATTGTTGGTAAAAGGCGGCCCGTGTCAGTCGTCTGCAAAGCGACGTAGATGGAAACAAATTGCCGCGGCGTTTTTCGCGGCCTCGGAGATGCAGGAGCGAGCCGACGTTAAAAAAGATACGTTTGAACTACGAGTGTCAGCAAGAGCCACGTAGATACCTGTTTACACTCGGAGCAGACGCGCGCGCTTGATGGAAGTGCTGTATTCGCGCTGTTGGTAAGCGCTTCGGGACCGTTCTTTTACGATTGCAACTCGATACTGACGCGACACTCGGCAAAGAAAGGTTGGACCGGCATTGCACGTATACCTCCCACGAACTGTTATAGCTCGACAGTGACGTGCAGTCTGTCAGAATAAAAATGGCATACCAATGACAAAGTGTACATACCGTGATACGAAGGTAATCCATACGGCGTTTATTTCAGCTCTATATCACACAAAACAAGAAGATAGAATCGACGAGAGTCCCTTTTCGACGAGTGTTCGTCAACACTGCCTCGGAAAACAAGGGGAAGAGATTGACCTCACCTCTTAACCTAAAATTGAGCTCAGCGATCAAACTATAATTGGGGAAGGGTCCACAAGGGTCGCGCGGGCATATTCCATTTAGCACGCCAGCCGGTCGTAGGCAGACGGTCTTGCGAC